AGGACAAATCTCTCACAGAAAATGTTTATTTATCTAGATTGGAAATACAGGATGTGACTATTGTGCTATTGAGTATGACTTTCTTGCTACTCAGAAATAAAAAATGAAAGTCTTTGTCTCAATCATAAATGGATTGAGCCAGAAAGAGTTATTACTCCTAACGCTTGGAGGCACAGCAGGGAGAAGGCTTGATGTTTGGAATCAGGTTTATCGACTTTGACTGAACTTGGCTAAGGACTTCTTAATAGCATGAGAAAGCCCAATCTCTACATGATCTTTGCTGGTCTTCATTCATTTACTGGTGTTGAAGATAATTTTTATTAAAAGTAGCTGTAAATGGACAAATGTTATAAAAGTTTACAGCACAGAAGAAATTTTCATCCATCACTGAAAACTATTTCTTTTCAGGATTGAAAAATAGACAAGATGTTATCTGGACTTAGATCATAACAAAATATTTAGTTTAAATTGGCTATGATAAAACTGATAGCCTTAGATTTCATGATTACTTCACTACACAGGAATTTTGTGCATGCATTTTAATGGAATCTACTAATTAAAACAAAATTAAAGTTCTCTATATATGTTTATTACATGTTAAAGAGTTTCACACTAACATATCCAGGCTAGACCTAGGCATTATACTATGCCAATGTGCACCTTTTAGGATACATTTATGTGAATGGCACAGACCTGGTATCGTGTAGAACATTACTAACTCCTGTCCCCAGAGGATTGTGTCTGGGAAATATTAAAAAAAATGTACTTAAATAAAATGTCTCTGACAAATAATACCTCATCCTCTTTCAATTTAATATATTAAAATCAGGACTATGTATGAAATTTCAAAGCTTAGCATGCGTAGAATGCACCACCAAAATTTTTCTCTCCAACATTATATAATACTCCTGGGAATTCATGTTGCTTGCTAACAACACTACATTAGTTCTATTAATTCATTTTTATATCTATAATGTGATGGCAATTTTGTTAAATGTTTCTATAGTAAGGAAAAAATATCTTCAGAGCATCAACTAGAGAGAAAACATTTGTTTATTTGTTGCTTTTGAATTGGTAGCAGAAAACTGAAAATAAGATAAAGGAAAGAAGTATCATTTTACTGATTTTAGTTTTTATAATAAATTTTTGGCATTTTTTCACTAAGCATCTGAATACATTATTGAGTTACTTCTTTTGCGATTACCATGTTTCTTATTTGTGTCCATGGCCAAAATATTATTTCTTGGTAGCTCAATTCCCAAAACAATTGTTATCCCTGACATTTACTGCCTCAATTTGTATAGGCTTGGGAAGGTTTTATGAATACTAGATAAGAGTTTTGGAGCTTGTGAGAAATGATTTGTTTACAATATTTGTACAATTAAAGGAAATAGCCCAGCATGAAAACTGGGTGAAATGGCATCATTTTCTGTGAATTGAAATTAGAACTGTGAATTCATATTTGAAAATTATGAAAGAAACCAAAATACTAGTCAAACAAATGTCAACATAAAGCAAATTCAGTATCTGAGAGACTGTTATCATAGTGAAAGCATCTATCATTTGATTTGATCTAATTGTGTTTATAAGATAGTTGAATGTTTTTTGATCACCTGTTCTTATTACTTGAGCATAGACTCCACACAAAATTGATGTCTTTGGTAGTTATTGGAAATCTATTTTGTGGAAATCAGGAGGACTAATTTGAAGCATTTCTCGTTCCAGGTCAATCATTTGGTGGAGCACTAATGAGAGTAATATGAACATTTATTTGTGTTAAAAAAGACTATGGGGTCCTTCCTGATGGCACAGGGGTTAATGTCTCAGCACTATGAAACTATCTTCAGCCACTGCAGCATGAGTTCAATCCCAGCCAGGGAGCTGACCCACATGGTACAGTAGACCTCTCCTGCCTCACCAGCTGCTCCCCTCAGCAGTGTATTTCAATAGATTCACCTGTTCTCAGTGATTGTGCTGATACCCTCATCCCAGTGGCTATTTACCAGACATATATCGTAATACTTTAACATGCTGCATGGCTCTTCTGGCATTTGGAAGTTGAGTGTCAGGCCATCTTGGCTCAAGTTTCTTTAAGAGAGTGTTTCTCAAAGTGTGGCCTAAGGATACCAGAGGGCTTCTGAGATCCTTAGGAGATCCATAAGGCATAAGATTCTTCCTTTCTCAAAGACATGTCTACATGAAGCTAGATTTTCTTCATATGCATAAACTAAACAGCAAGTCACAGTAGGTTGAATGCTGAAACAGATGTGTCAGTGTGATCATCTTTAATTTAGACATTAAAGTGAATTGCCAAAATGTTCAATGGTACTATTCTCAAACAAAATTGTATTTTTTGAAAAATATAGTTATTTTTCATACAAATGTGATGTATATTGTTATTTTTTAAATGAGCTAATAATTACAATTTTTAAGAGCATAAAAGAATCTAAAGACCAAAGACTTTGAGAACTGTTGCTTTAAGAAATACAGTAATAAAAACTGCAGAGAATCAGCAAAGACAGTCCAAACAGCCGCAATCCCTGATCATTCTGCAGAGATTTGGTTGCCACTTAAGAAATCAGTTAATGACTTTAAAATATCACTGTTTTTCACTTATGCAAAAACATGTCCACAAACTATATTTTCATTTTAAAACCATGGTAATTTACACTAATTTATGTATATAAATTTTTCAGTATTAGGTTTTTTTGGTAAAGAAATGCATTTCACTATGTTAAGTAAATTTATAAAAATGTCACCCTGAAGAAAACAGCTTTACATAATAAATTAAAATTTTAATTAGTTTATTGTCATGCTTATGATAGTTGTAAGATGCTTGCAAATCCTGATTTTTATATCTTAAGCATTTCATCAGAAATCTTTTCATATTATCATTTTCCCCCCTGAATTTCAAGAAATAGAAAGTAACCATTACCCTCCATCTGTGCTATTATCTCAAACTTGGAAGCAGCAGCATTGAAATCACCATCTTTCCTTTCATCAAAGGCAATAGTGATTGAAAGGTGTACAAAACAAACCAACAAATAAGCAAAACAAAATCTAGATGATCTGCTTATAAAGTTAGGATGCCAAAGAGCTACACATTCAATCTAAAGTAGATGAAAACAAAACCACCAACAGCAATGGACTTCAAGGAAAGTTGCAAGCTTTAATCGACACATTAGAAGGCAACAAAAAAATAAACCTCCTTCAAGAACTTGACCCACAAAACTCCCTTGACTACAGTTTCAATTCATGCAGTATGGTCAATACCCTAAGCAGAGAATGGAGACTGTGTCCCAGGTGACTACCAGGGCAAAGGTAAACTGTCCTGTAATAATAATGCCTTTGATTATTAGAGAAGAAGCCATATCAGAAGTATGGGAAAGCAACAAAATTGTATGTCTTAGAAACAATGAAATATAGGAATTCAAATTACTGGCATATAAAATTTAATTTAAGGGCCCCCCTGATGGCACAAGGGGTTAAGTCTCAGCACTATGAAGCTATCAGCAGCCGCTGCAGCAACAGTGACAAGATTAATACTAAGTTACATGATTATTTTGAGGCTTTCTGGTTATTGTCTGTGACTCAGAAGTCTCTATACTAGTTGGCATTAGACTCAACCACTTAAAAAAATATCAAATGAGTCTTTATAGGCTATGCATGTTTGATATGGGATTGATGTGATATTGAGTACTCTTAGAAATTAGCTGGTTTTACTTTGGAGGGGAGGAAGCAATTTGAAAAGCCACTATCACTAGACTACATGTCACAAACCCACGGGTCATTCTCTCCCTTTTGTCTTTGAGCATAATATAAACTGCCTTCCTGAAGTTGAGAGTACTGAAAACTTCTGTCTTTTGTTTATTAGCTTCTGGATCTCAATAGTGATTCTGTTTTTCATGTTTTAAGGTAATGCAATAATGATCACACAGTACTTAAGCATAAGTATGCACTTCAAAAGTGGTGTTGAGTCTTGCAAGAAATGCTCGAAAAAGACAACAGTCATAGAAACTGAAAATGGCTAAAGAAAGATTCCAGACACCTTTCTTTCCTAATAACTGTTCTCTCAATACTGAAGGTGTAAAATGGTGCCTCAAGGAGGATGCCTCTTCAATGACAAATGGATGAAGTAGGTGCTTTGAAGAGACATACGGAACAAAGCTCTTGTGAAATTACGGCCTTGGTACGAAATGGCATTTATTCAACTCATTCAAGCAATTCCATTTTATTGCACAAAGAATAAAACATTTCTTAGAATGACAGACACCTTTTCCTTGTCTTCTCATGACAAAAAATAACCAGAAGGAAACCATTCCCAAGTGACACTGCATCTCCAAGCTTACTTTCCTACTGTTTTTTTTCTTAAGAGAGTAAATGGACAATTAACTGTTCAGAGATTTCTCCTTGTTATGAAAAAGCAAAACCCTATGTGTAGGAACTTTTCTTTCTTTCCCTTGACCAACAGAAAATGCCATGTTTTATACTGACATTCCCATAGGTAGGACACATATCAAATCGTTTCCAATCTTCTGGGCACATGCTTAAATACTTCCATGGCAAGTAGAGCATGTCAAGGGGAAAGTGAAATAAATCCGATTTTTGTTTGCTTTTTTTTTTTTTTTTTTTCAAAACACTAACATTCAATTCTCACTATTGATTTCACTGAAAACATTTTCTTCAGTAATCAACCCCTTATTTTGTAACTATTATACAATTGCAGAGACATATTTTTGTGGGTAAGTGTTTCAGCCAGTACCTTTCAAGTTCCAGTTTGGTTCAAAACAGAAGACTTACTGTGGTACAGACCTGAGGTCAGTGTTGGAGCACTGCACTCCTCAAGTAATTTATCCTGAGCACATGAATACAGGCCTCCTCATTTGAAGCCATTTGGTTTTCCACAGGTCCCGGTTTTACCAGAGCCCAAATGTCTATCTTGCTGCCCTTCTGACAGATGTCCATGCCAAATTTCAAAGCCAGAGTCAGTCAGCACTCACCTCTCCTTCTCTGGGCCAAGGCCTTCCATTCTGGGTGTATTTGCTTTGATTCTGTCGCTTCTTTTGTCCTCCATCAGCGAATTTGCACAGTAAAGGCTCACTAGGGGCTGGAAAGATAAGAAACCAATTCGATATTAGAAATCCCCTTCAAAAATAAGTGATTATTTGAGTCCCAGTAGTGCTTTGTAATGCATAGCTTTTGAAGTCTCTTGCTTCTGGAGAGATTATTTGGCCCCCTCTTAGACTCAACTCTGTTGGCTGCTGTTCTAACTAACTGGCTTTCAAAAAAAAAACAAACTGGCAGACCATAAAAGAATATAACCAATATTGTGAAAAATAATCAGCTGAAGCAGAATGTGAACTCGCTTTAGAAGTTAAGAGGCAAGTGTCACTCCTTCCGTTTATGTTACAGACATTCGGAAATAGTGTTTGTGTGTGGATAAATATTTCTTCCTCAAAGCAACTGTGTTCATTGCAGAAACTGTGGATTCTATTTTGGAAGATCTTTAGGCGCTTGTTCATAAAAAGAAAGCTATTTAGCAAATTGCCACCAAATTAGCTTTGTTTTCTCATTAATCGTATCCAATTTCAAAAAAGACTAGAAGTTGATTGTTCACCCAACTTCCTTCACTCTAATAAAATCTACTCAGAATGCTACTGTGAGCAATTATTGGAATGTTAATATGCATATTAAAATTAAATTAGAATATTAAAATATAGCCAAGGGGCATGATCTTAACAAATGAATCATGCACTAGGGGGGAACGTGGCATTCCTATGTGGCTTATGTAAACTTATTTCCTAAGAAATTGAAGGATAGACCTCCCCAAGATGTTCAGGATAAGGCTTTCCAAGACATGTCACTTTGACATGTGGATTATTATGAGCTGAGGTCAATGGATACCTAGTAGACTCATAAGAAATTTTTACTACTCCTAAAGGATGAAAATTGGAGATATTATCCAAATTAGAACTTTTACCAGAAATAATCTTTCTGCAAGAGAAAATTTTTCATATAGTAGGGCAAATATCTAGCTATAGATCATCTTGTATCTGACACGAGTCACCCTCTCCTTGTCGAGTGAGTCCCCTCCAATCTCCTTGAAGTCTTAGGCCACGATCCCAATCTTAGCTCAGGATACATACCTTCCTTCTGCTCCACTGGCTTTAGAATCTATACCCAGGTAGAGTTTTCCTGTGCATGTAATGAAATTTGTTCCTCTCCTGTCTAATTTGATTGTTACTAATCTGATGTAAGTTGATTGCTTGACTAGTTTCTAGTTTGGCTAGAAAACCCAGGATACAAGGGGGAAATGTCCTCTCTGCCCTTACTTCTACAGTTATAAAGATATATTTCTAAATGATTGGAAAAAAGAAAGCCATATTGGTCTAGCAAACTTGATCAATGCTTTCACTTGACCAGGAGACTTATTTTTTGTTAGCTGATTGTTTTAATAAACCAAATATCAGTTTGCAAGTTTACAGTCTGAAAACCAGTATGAAACTCCTCTTCCTTCCATCCTTGGGAAAATGTGTTTTTCTGAAGATTAATTGTATTAATGATCTTAAAATACTATCCCCCCTCCCCCCATCCTTGCACTTTCCTCTTACTCTGACTCTTAGCCTGATCCTATAAGCACTGAGGCTTTGTGAATATAGCTATGTGACTAGCTCAGTTTATGCTGGTAGAGAATGAGATACAAAAGAGGATGAGTTGGGCCTCCCTGGTGGCACAGCGGTTGAGCGCTGGGTTACCAGGCTGCCCGCAGCCTCTGCAGCGCAGGTTCGATCCCCGGCTGCTCCCCGGCCACCGAAGGAGGGTCCCACATGGCGCTCAGACCTCTCCTGCCGCCCGCTGCTCCCCTCAGCAGTGTACTTCGGTCCTTCTGCCTGTTCTGCTTCCCGCTCTGGCTCTGGTGAATTCTCTCACCCTCCCGCACTTCTGACTGTACCCAGTGCTTGTATAAATAAATAAGTAAATAAATAAACAAACAAACAAACAAATAAATAAATAAATCTTAAAAAAAAAGATGAGTCATCACTAATGTCACAGTCAAGGCCAAACTACATCATCCAATGACCAACCATCACCTTCACATGGAAGCAAGCTCAGGTAAGGTCAGTGGGATACATAAATAACCTGCACTTTGAGATAAGTCAAAGTCATCCTGAAAAAATGCAAATTAAAAAATATTTTTATACCATTAAGATTTATAATTGTCATGCAGCATTAATATCTTAATAGGTAACTGATATAGTTTCCTCCAATACTCACTTCTCCCCATTCCTAGCCTCAGGTAAGCTTACATTTACTAATATGGGTGATGCTGAAAATTACTGTAGAATTCACATGACTTCAAATGATCTCTGCAATCAATACTGGAAGAAGGATACAGGCAAACAGGCATTCAGAAAGAATATTTGAAAATAATATGACTTTAGGGCCTCCCCAGTGGTGCAGCGGGTTGAGCGCTGCGCTGTGAAGCCTCTGCAGCGCGGGTTCAATTCCCGTCTGGCCAGGAAGAAACCCACGTGGGTGACAGACCTCTCCTGCCTTGCTGGCTACTCCCTTCAGCAGTGTCTTTGTCCCTCTGCCTGTTCTGCTCCCCACTCTCTCAGGTGAATTCTCTCACCCTCCCGCGCCTCTGACCCATATCCCAGTTCTTGTATAAATAAATAATCTTTAAAAAAAAAAAAGAAAATAATTTGACTTTAAGTGGTAGTAATATTTTATTCAATCCTTTTAGCTTACTCATTATTAAGCAACAGGTTTCTGTTAATTAGTATTGGGGGAAATTACTCAAACAATCGGGGGTTATAACTGCCCAGAAAAATAAAAAATAAAATGCTTTACTTGTCCTATAAAGACAGCGAGTAGGGATATGAAACTCACCCTGGCACATAACATTGTATATAGAAAGCATCCAACAAATATTTTCTCAGTGAGGAGAATTACTTTTCAACTGTCTGCTCTTATCAGCCTCTGACTTTGGTGAAGCCACACAAATCACATAAGGAATGAAACATGAAATATTTGAGGACAGTTTCTACCATCGCATTAGAAATAGTCTAAATTCTTACTCAAGGCGAAAAACCTAAAGTGCAGATGCAATCACTGGATTTCAAAACTACACATTAGAAAATTTCCTGTGAGATTTCAAAAGCTTACCATTATACATATATAATCATTCTTCACTACATGTTTTTCTCTCTTGTTTTTTAAAGATTCAACATCCACTTATCCATGCAAATGGGATGGCCATGGTAACATGGGTTTATCACTGAGAGGAGTATAAATTCCACACAAAAGGCAAAGAAGTTTAAAAACACCTCAAATTTTCTGCAGTAGAGTTGTAAATCCTACCCTTTAGGAATTTTTGTAAAATGATTTTCATGATTCATATTTTCCACTGTCTGAAGCAGAATTCTCTTTCTTGTCACCTAAAACTAATTACTTTTAAGGCACATAATAGCCTGGACTATAAATATGACTTCTCTTTAGGTCATTCATGTCTTTATATGAAGAGTATGAGCTAAAGCTAAAGCTCAGACTCTTGGTGTGTTTAATAGTTATGGGCAGTAGTCTGCTTCCTGGATTTGAGTTCTGGTTCCCTGACTTAATAGCTACAGGACACCAGATGCTTAAAAAATGTGATTAATTTTCCTCATATATAAGATGAATATAGCAGTGTTACTTCCTCAGAGAAATGGTGTGAGATTTAAATAAGTTACTATATAGAAAGGACTATTTATATATGACAGATAGATATTTGTGCTAACTACAACTACCATTATTGCTTAGCATATCAATGTGGGGCCACTGCCATTGAATTTGCAACTAGAGTCCAAGAAAGACAAAATTTTTTTTTAAAGATTTATTTATTTATTTATACAAGTACTGGGTATAGTCAGAAGTGCCAGTGGTTGACAGAATTCACCAGAGCCAGAGCAGGGAGCAGAACAGGCAGACTGACAAAGTACACTGCTGAGGGGAGCAGCGGGTGTGTCAAGAGAGTTCTGTGCACCATGTGGGACCCTCTCTGGTGGCTGGGGATCAAACAGGTGCTGCACAGGCTGCAGGCAGCTTCGCAGCCCAGTGCTCAAACTCTGTGCCACCAGTGCGGCCCCAAAAATATATATATATATATTTTTAGAACAGGGAAAAATATTTTTTTATGGAGAGAATATGTGTATCCAAAGTGATTCTTGCTGACTACATCTCCTCCCACCCAGAATGGTTTACACGCCTCTCCCCTTTGTAAGTCCATATCTGAAATTTCCTTTTCCAGCTCCACACACACCCTCTCCATTTGATTAGCTCCTAAGCAACCTCCAGAATGCAGCTCAAATGTCACATTTTGAGGAAAACTTCCATGACTTAACCCCATCCCATTGCAGAGTCAAAGTACTACCTAGTGCTCACCTGGCTGACTTTTATAGGTTGAATATTATTTCTGTTTGTGTGGAGTCCTTTCCCAGTAGCAATTCCATTCCAGGTTTGAAGAGGGGAAGTGAGGATAGCAGAGATCAGGATGAAGTTTGTCTATATGTGTGCATATCAGTAATAGCATTTTCCAATAGGAATACATAATTTTTGAAAGTGATTCTATTTCAAGTGTGGTCCAAAGACAAGCTACAATGCTATCCACACCTGGGAGTGAGGTATAAAGGTTGCATCATGGACTCCTTCCCAGATCTACTGAATCAAAATTTGCATTGAGCCAGACCCCCAGATGATTCACGTCCACACTGAAGTTTGAGAAGCACTTACTTGATTATGACTGGCTTCTTAACTGAAATAGGAATATCTCTTAGATGTTAAACTTGAATCATCTGAATAATGAAATGATTTCAATGGTATATAAATATTACATTGTCTACAATTTCCTTATTGCTGTAATATGGTCTCAATTTTGTTTAGTCTCTTTTAGCAGTAGTTAAAATAGAGCCTAAATGAATGAGAGGCCTTTGTGGAAGTAAGACGCTGTTAAAAGCTACAGATTGTAATGTGCTAGAAGACATTATGGCCTATCATGTAAATGGAGAGTGTTTAAAATATAATTATAACAATGCATGGCAATAAAGTTGCCTGGTAATTATGAAGGAG